CATAATGGTACATGTATTTTCGTTTTGGTTTTTGTCATCAGTTTAAAAAAAATATCCCCGTTAAAGTTAAAAATAATGTTGTCATACAGTAAATTTGTTTGCAAATGTCCTCAGGCTCACTTGCAAATCAAACAGCATACGCGAACAGTAAGAGTGGATCTTGACCAAACATGGTTGCTGTGTACAAGACCAGGCAAACACCAACACTGTACGACCTACGATTAACTCCTGGATTATTTTTGACGAGCGCCGCCAGAAAAATACGCAACGCTTGGTGGCGCTGCCACAACCAACTATGACAATAGTCCCAACTGCAGTTTCGATGTCCCAATTGCGATTGTACGGGTGAGATATCCCAATTATGGCAGCAACTGTAGTTGAGAAAAGATCACCAAAAGTCTCTATGGTGTTCGAGACAGACGTCAAATTCAGGCTTAGTTACTGAAAGTTAATTTTTCCATTTAAGTTTTTGTGGGTAAATAATGAATAGGCCTATTTTTGAGATGTTTGTGTCCGAAATTATCAGGATCCCTGGGCCAAATGAATCCCGGACAACCAATCCTTGTCCTGAACTCGGAAGGCACATTTGTTATGTGGTTACACTGCAAAAGCAGTATAGACCTATCTTAATTTTTTTTCTCTAGTTCAAAATGGAGATATCATGTCTGTAACTGGGGCCGGGGGTTACAGAGGTGCGTCCGCACCCCCCCCCATCCCCCCACCCCGCGGGGACTAAAAGGTCCGCTTTAGAGGCAAGAAAACTTAGATTTTCAGCCATAGTAGAACTTTTAAGGCGCAAAAAAATTGCCTTGTGTCAATTCCCTCTTCACTACATGTACTTGTAACCCCTCCCCCAACCAATTGGTTCGCCTTTTGACTCATCCTACTGTTTTAAAAACTATGCATGGTCCACTTTGTTGACGGATTTGCACCCCCCCGCCAAAGTTCTAGTTACGGGCCTGGATATGTTTTCCCTTTTGCCAACTTCTTTGTTTTTCCTCGACTGATTATTTAAAAACATTGCTACAATTTTTATGATGAATATGTGGGGGGTATGACATAATTTGAGTTTGGGTACTGAGTGTGAGCGTTTCGTCAACTGTGCAAGCCTTAGTGCGCTCTAGTACATACATCAGCACCAAAAGTGAGGGACACGAACCAACATATCTCATTTTCTGTTAGTATATTTTCAGGTTTCTATAGCTAGCGTCAGGCATTTTGAAAAAATAATTTTTCTCTCAGGAAAAATTTGGATTTTATGTTGACGACTTTTGCCGTGCCCCTATACTAGCAAGCATTAACGTCATCAATGGTCAAAAGTGGACAAACCACTCCTTATCTGCTCTTAGACATGCATTTTAGATATTGCCATATTTTCCACAATTTGTAGCAAGCATAAATTTGGGTTTATCTTGCTAAGAAAAATTTGTTCTTAAGCTCCACTTTCACCGACACTACGGCGTCTATGATCTAGGCGTAAACTACATTTTGGGCGCGACCCTAAACTGCCACTGACTTTCAGGGTCCCATCTTGCTTAAATCTAACAGAATGCTAGATTGGAGTCTTACTTTGGTGTTCAGTCCTTTCTTTATACCAATATCCTAGTTTAGGGGCCACAAAGTCACTCTTTCAGGAGAGAATTTACTGGCTTAAAGCTATTCCCAACCACTCCGTATCTATTCGCAGTTGGGCAGTTCAAACCATAGTTGGGATTGGCCGAATTACAATTCGTACCGTTACTACATTTGGGGCGTAACATAATGGGGAAGGCGACGCCCGTGGTCGCGTTTGTGTGTGTAAATAAGCCAGAATTATCTGGTTTGGTGATGGTGCACATGTAGTTGGGCCTGGCTTTACGTTCTTCAGTTAACAGTGTAGCGTTTTGTTAACAAATTGTTTTAAAATGAAGAAAGTGGGGTACTGGATGACGGAAAAGAAGCTGAAGAAATTGGATTTTCATTCGATATTCAGCGCCATGTGCAGGTAAGTTGGCCTAGGCCTACGTAAGCCTAAGCAGAAATTTGGCCTTGTTTAACTTCCAGCCTACGACACGATAGTGAGCGCCGACAGTGAGCAAGAAATCGAATTCCCAGATAGGCCTAGATGCTGGGAGTTGCAGACTGATGTGGAAGCAGTGCGGTCTGTTGATATTGCAGAAGTAAGCACAACTACTTACTTGAACTAGGCATCATGTAGATACGGTTCATGTACATGTGCCGCTGACCGCAACCAAATTTTTCAAAATCTGACAAAATCAACTGTGGGCATGGCAGGCAGGTAAAGGTATTGGTGCAGTAGTGTGTCCTGCAGGCATGGCAGGTGACTACTAGTTTAAAAATTAGTAAACTACAAAATTAATTTCCATTTTCATTACTATCAAATTTTTAGCCGAACTGGTCCATTATTAGCGAAAAATTATACAATTATGAACTTGGGAAACCCTGTATACAGGTACAGTGCAACATGAAAACATCTGGTATACATGTGTGGTATGTATGGGACCACACTGACAGTCTGGTATCGTGTGCGCATAAATGCATTTGATGCAGCTGACAGTAGTCCAGTGCAAGACTTCAGTGGCGTGCGATGAGGGTAAACACATAAGCAATAAGCATGCACCCTGTTACTGTCTTTGGCCAGTGTCTCGCAGCTGGCTAATTAACTGGCTTTCTTTGGTGATATCACATAGAGGGTACGGATATTGTGCATGGTGTATGAAAAAAAAAAATCAAATGTTTGGACATAAAAGATGAAAAGCTAATTCCAAAATCAATTTGATTGATTTTTTAAAGGTCTTTTACTATTTAATTTTTATTTTGATGGAAAACAGAAATTACATGTAATTAATGTAATGTTGATTGGTTTAGAAATTGATAGTTTCAATTTCTACAAAATATGAACCCAGAATTTGGCCATTTGAATTGAAATATCATACAACAATCGTTTAAGAACTACAGTTTACTTAAACTAATGGGCTGGCAAATTCTAGTCTTTGCAAACCTTTGCAAATAATGGCAATGTCATTTGATGTAACAGTTTCATATGAAGCTACATGTATGTTGATCTTTTTGTATGAATGCTCATCGCAGTAAAGCATTTTAGCCATTTGAGTAAACTGTATTGTCTAATGAACTAAAAGATTTAAAAGATTTTTGATTGTGTGTAACATGTGTGAGACTCCTCTGAATCACTGATACAAGGCCCCCCCCGCACAAACTTCAAATTCCATGTTTTTGTTAACTGCTGACGACTGCTTGGAACCTATTCCCAATGCGATATTGATAAACCTACATTGTACATGTAGGACGAAAACTTTGCCTGCACAAGGTGGCGTGGAGTGCATGATACGGAAATGGTGTAAGCGATCTGTGACTGTCGGCTTCAGTCCTGTCAGTCTACACATGTAGGTGAACATATTTGGTGTCCAACAGAAGGGGAAGCATTTTGCTACATTTTATTGGTATGAAGAAATGCCAACTCTTGCTCACAGAAATTTTGAACATGTGGCTGTGAGGGCAAGGGTTTTTCACTAAACGAAAACATTAAGTGCATTCCAAAATCACCGAGTCTTACTGTATGTAAGACCAACGGATCCATACCACTGCAAATTCTAGAATTATTGCCATTTCCCTAGTTTTTTACCAGGCTTGTTATGTTTCCTACATGTATGTATCTGGACATGTTGTAGGGAGTTCCCATGAGTGGGTTTGTTTTTAACTAAAATGATTGAAGCACAAAATTCCATCAGCGCAACTGTTTCAACCTTCTCCTTTAGTCTTTTTTTGGAATTGATGACTCTTTGAATGTTTGCGTGTGTTGAGTGTCCTGACCGTGTATCATCCTCTGTTCGATTACCATTCAAAAAGAAACCAATGAATCATTTGTAAAAAAAATTGTATATATGCCGACCCTTTGACAACATACACTTACATGTAGTTTTGGTTGCACACTCTCTGAAACACATTTCTTGGGAACATATTACATGATATACTTTTAACACCTTAACCCTAACCCTGTTAGGTGCAGCACAGTGCATCAGGTGAAAAAGTCTAATGCACTTTGATGCACTTGGCACTCGACAGCAGCAGCGGAACAAGCTGGTCATGTTGAGACAGTTGGAGCTAGTCACATTGAATAGTGCCACTGTTGGATCCTCTGGTGACTGGCAACCACAGACTCCTAGGCTGTTTGGCTTTGGGGAGAGTTGACCTGTTGGATCTTGTTACACTGGGCAGGCAAGCCAATTTAACAAATGATGCTGACTGATGTGTCTAGCAGGGTTTCTAGCCAAGTATAGTGTACCCTTGAAGGGTTAGGGTTAATATGCACTTGCTTATGAAACCCAATTTTGAATTTTCATAGTCACTGTTAGGGCTGTGATTGAATTAAGTGCAAGTGAAGTTGCTCGTACATGTACATGGCTACGTCTACCAGCAGACTAATGGTGGTTTCACTGCCATAGCCAATAATAGTTCCTAATTCCGCCACGTACTGTGAAAACCAGTCAGACTTAACAATAGCTGGCAAAAGTAGGGACCTGGTCACTATACTGTCATGCACGTTAGAGTTTCCATTTAAAATGTGAAGTACAGGTCCATGTATCTGTATACATGTGTATATGGTGCATCTGTTTTTAACCTCTTTCTTTTCTCTTTTTTTCGCAGGGCAAAAGGCATTGAACTTGTTAAGGTAAGAAATTTCATTCAGAGTTGTCTTGTCAAAAGAAAAAACATGTAAATGTGAGTATCATTGTTGTTTGAAAAGAGCACATGTGAATAAGGAAACACGTGTACTGGTACCCGGTACCCTGAACAATGTAGGTTGTTGTAAATGCATGAATGAAACATTGTAATGAAAGTAATCAATTGCCGATTGGAGGCACAGTACAGCTGTTGTTTCACAGTCAGTTGGGTTTCCCGGAGCACATTTATTTTAGCAGACTGATTGATCAGTTAAATGTTCTGTCTTCCATGGGCCTGAAAAGCATTGGTATTTCAACCCTGCTATGTGTAGTTGTATTCCCATCGGACATGTTTGTTGTGTGGGACTGAGACCAGGAGCCAGAAGATGAGGGTAATCATTGGCCTAGCCCATTGATTTTCTAAGTTCAAAACACATATTCTAATTTCCAAGAGTGATGAATTAATGCAAATTACGGTACCTGCCAAACAAAAACTGACAAATAGTAATAGATTGAAATCAATTCCGGTGGTATTTCTGTGTCAAATAACAACGGTCAGATGTAACAGGAATGCAAATGTGTCATACTTTTGGTTAATTTCTGGAATTGCCCGGCTATTTGTAGTTTAAAACCAATCCATTGCACTTTTTATCCTATTCCCAATTAAGCAATGAAAATTGCCGATAATAGGAAGTTTATAATGTTGCAAATATCGCCCTCAACTGGCTGTACATGAAGCAAATAGGAACAATTTTGTGTCCTGCTGTCACCTCTCAGATCGACCTCCTGCAGTCTTTGGAGAGCCAGGGCCCTTTCAGTGCAATCATCCATAAGTTGACTGATGTCCTCAGTTTTGCCGCTGATGGAGACAAGAAGTCACAAGAGATGATCGACAATCTAACGGTAAATGTGCATGCATGAGCCCCCAAATCTGAACTTTTAGCCCCAAGTGTTGTCTACATACATGTACATGTAGCTTATCTTTTTCTATCTATTCTTCTTCACTCTAGTTTGTTTTAGAAAGACTCTGCAACTTTCATGCTTTGGTTTTCAATTCAAGGGAAAATGGGAACTCGGTATTCACACACTGGCTAAAAGTAAAACCCTAAATCAAGGAAGGAAACAAGTGTCGTTTTAAACATCCACCCACCTTTCCTTTAAAAAAAACTTTCCCCTTGATGTTATTTGGAGAGTGTGTCACCTTATGTCATGCTTGGCAGTGTTCTGTATTCATTCAGTTGTTTGGATGCTGTACACTATAAATAAAATAAGTAACGCTTGTTAAAAATACATGTACATGTAGTATGCATGCTAGTCTGGCAGGTCACTTCCTTGGTGCCCTGCTTTGCAAATTGCTAGTACATGTAGCATGCACCCACATTTGTGAACCAGTCATGGTTTAGTCTTGTGGGGCATGTGTTGAACATTTAGGTGAAGTGTGTGTCATTATTTGTGTTCATTCTTTCCCCCAACCCTGCCCATAAATGCCATTTTTTGGAGGGGCATGGCATAAAACACGGAGAAGGCGTACCAGTGCATGTGTGCGCAGGCGAGAGAGGACCTTTGAACTTTGAACAAGTGGCTTTTGTCCACCACAAAATCTTTCTGCAGAACTGTCCCAATTCTTTCCTTTCCAAATTCAAATAGACTTTGTCTGCCCCACTGGTGTACTTTTTAGATCTCCAGAACCCATGCCACAGCATAGGGTTTTCAGTGATAAAAGTTAACAATATCAGTGCGTGTATACTCCAGTCTCGTGTCTTACCCGACAGCAGGCTGACAAGCAACCGCTTGGCAACCTAAATGGTTTTTTAGAAGCATCTTTTGCATCTATTTGATTCACATGAAATAAACAGCATTACAATTACGTCAACATTTTCAAGAGACACACATGTGTATGCACATCCGGTCCATTTGAGAACCCATTTGTTGAACGTTGGCATGGAATTACCACAGTATGAAATTTCATGAACAGATGTCAAAGGAACTGTTGTTTTTGGTACTTTTACCTCTTCTGACATATTTTATTTGAAAGAGTTACAGTACCAAACAATAATAATACATCATGAAGGAACAGGCAAGATAATTACATGTATGTACAACAGATGCTTGTCAGCTATATCAAGGAATCATGCAGACCTTTGGGACCGGGCAGAATTCTTTGAATGCTCCAGACAAACATTGAAAATATTGAACATTTGAGCTTCAAAAGCTCATTGAAATAATTAGGACCTGAGTAAACATGTAGGATGGCCTACATGTGCCAAGTACATATGTAGCTTGCTTACCACTTGTGGGCATGTATTGGTATTGGACGTACATGTACATGTCAATGTACTGCATCTGTAGACATTAACAGTTTTACTGCTCTTAATTAGCAGGGACTGTCCTTGACCAAACCCTCTGTTTGCTTTTTTGGTTTTATGATTTACATATATTTATTTATTCGAGAGGAGGCTATTTTTTTAATTTGACGCTGCATGCATATCGTGTATAAATTGTACCTGCATATGAGTTTAACATGTTGTATGACCCTTACATGTACCTTGTGCAGACCTGTAAACAAAAGAGGTCCACATAATGCAGGTTGTGTGAACCTTCTGAGGACTCAGTTGGTCCACACAAGGTTTCTGGAAGACAAGAGGCATTTTGGGAACAATCAAGGAAACCGTCATCAAAAATCCATCTTGAAATAGTGTTTTGTGAGTGTTAAATTTTAGGCTACTTTGTCTCAAAAATAGAGTGGCTACTTCGCCTTTGAAAAAAATTGAGTGGCTACTTCGCCTTAGAAAATAAATTAAAAGTCTCTTTTTTGTGGGAGGTTTTTTATGCAGTTTTCTTCTTTTGTAAAATAAAGTATACAAATTTTTATATCAAAAGGAAAATAAATAGACCATCTGGGTAACAAATAAAATAAGATATGAAAAGAAATGCCGTCGTTGTAGCTCACCAGAATATATTAGCTGTATACTACTGCCAAACAACCCGGTTCACCACAACGACGTACGCGAAGAAAAGGATGAAAATTAACAACCGGAATCACCTAGAAGGAAGCACAAGAACTCGGTGCAGTGAAGTAACTGCTGCAACCATCAGCAATGCAGGAAAGAAATAAGAGAGGGACGTGTGGCAGTAGGGGCTATTTAAAAAGAAATTGGTGACGCGCTTCACCGCTGATGTTACGTAAAAAACGGAAACGCAATGAAAGAAATTCAACTCGGGGCTACTACAAGTGTTCACAGTACAAGAAACCAGGCAAACACAAACGAATACCCACACAAGGCAGGTAACAGCAACATGCGTGAACTTGAAAGGTTCTTCTTTTTTTTCAAAAATATTTCTGAAATACCGGTAAATGCATTTCCAAAGTTTTGTCCTCTTAAGAGCAGTTTACCCCTGCAAAAACTGAAGGTAAACTCAACATATAGTACATGCACGTACTGCACAGGAACCAGTTTCAAGCGTGTGTCAGAGACATTGTCACCAGCACCTTCCTTA